GGAATTTTCAGCTTTCGGGTAAGTGGTCTCCAGGGTTTGCTCATCAGGTCATGTGGCTCCACAACATCTCCATCCCCATCCTTCCCGCTCCCGAAGTTTCCGTCCTTTGGCCAGAAAGCATTTCCGTACCCGTAAGTTCCGCTGGTCTCAAACAGCCACCTATTGTGATCGAAATCCCCGGTTTGACTCCTCATCAAAGCCGATTTAGTTGACTTCATCAGAGACAATCTTCTCTCCATTTTCGACATTCCTGCGGGTGGAGGAGGAAGCGGAAGTGGAGGCCGGCCACAATCAGCAGCCAGCTCACTCAAATCCGTGTTCTTGTAAGGCTCCTTACAACCGGGACAGATCCCATCACCCGTCTTGATGGCGTCTACATAGCAATCCCTACATATTTTGAAATCACATTCACAAGGGAGAATATCTTGCCCCCTCTCATCACTCATAACCTTTGCATCACAACCCGGGACCGCACAAGATGATCCTTTAGCACCAGCCATCTGGGGATGGTTCGTCTCTGACTCAATCACCTTGTCCATAAGATGAGCCCGTGTGACACTGTTAAACCCGCCCGTGAACAAGGAGTTTGAGACATATTGCTCTTCGACTTTCTGCGAGATTGATGGATCCATGGGCTGGTTATCAGGGGTCGGTGGTATATGAACCGTGTAGTTCGTGAAATCGACACTGCCCAGTTCGCTATCAAGATCGTCCCTTGAGTAACTGACGTAGCGGCCGGATGAAGTCCTCCGGGCAAATGTCACGGCCGGATGGACAGGCGGCCTCCCGGCTTCAGCAGCATCAGAGTTAGTGGATATGTTGGATCGGCTCTTATTAAATTGCCTAGACGCCATTGTTTAACTCTACCTGCAGATCCCTGAGAAGTAACAATGCAACAAGATTAAGTTAATCAAATCAGAATCAGAAGAGAAACTGACATCTGATTATCACAATGCTCAAGTACGGATCATAATGAAGAAGCTTAAATCAAGGAAGAAACGCCATAGCCAAACAGATCACCCACAGATCTAGAGTTGTTCGTCATCAAGACAAGGAATTTGTCCAGACTAAGACAAACCCATCATACTTCACAACTCATGTATCTCTTCCAAAGCATCAAAATCCTTAAAAATCAGCAATCATTGCTTCACGAACTGTGAACTGATACTCCAAACAGCCCATCGAAAGAGAAGCTTAAATCTCACGACAAAGAAAAAAAAAAGCTCACACCTTTTAAGCTAGAGATGAAATCCAAGACAGCAGATCCTTTCAAACTTTTGAAATCCAAGAATATCTCAAAAACCCCTTTTTCATATTCCCCCATTAATCAAAGAACAGTAACAGAGAGGACTGAATGGGACCCCTTCATATTCCGAGCACAGGACGATCCACGAACTTATGAAGAAAAAAAAAGAAAAGAATTAAACCCACGATTAATACCTTAACAAAGAAAGGGAAACTATATATTTATAAGAAAGAAAGCTCAGATCTTCCGCCTCCAACGTTTGAACAGAAAACGCTTCGTCTCTGTATAACAAATTTGTCTGAAGGATTCAACGAAATCCGTGCCACCCGACTGGATATGGCATCGAGAGAGGTAGACAGATATGGAAATAGATAGAGAGAGAGAGAGAGAGAGAGAGAGAGAGAGAGAGAGAAAGGGACTTAGTCGTGACCAAATACACCAGCATTACTTCCACCAAAACACGTTATGATGGCAACCATAGCCCATTATTCTATCTTTTTTTTAAACCCTTACACAAACAAGAACGAATGATGAAAGATTTCAACTTTTAAATTTGAACTGAAGTAGAAAAGATACAGAGGCCGTGACAACGACGCTGGGAGGAATTCGGCAAAGCAGATGTGTCTCTCTTGTTTATTGGTTTCAGTCGCAAGGGGTTTTCGGACAAGGTAGAAAAAGGACAGGAAATTGATTTTGATTTTCAAATTTTTTTTCTTCTTAGCGTCCTGGATTTTTTACGCTGTTTGTAATAATATTAAATACAATAAAAAAGGAAAGAATGTCTCAGAGAGAGAGAGAGAGAGAGAGAGAGAGAGAGAGAGAGAGAGAGAGAGAGAGAGAGAGAGAGAGAGAGAGAGAGAGAGGAAGGGTAGTTTGGGGATCTCAAAAAACGAAGGAACGCGGAGTCTAGGGGTAGTTAGGGTATTTTAGTCAGCGCGTTTTGGATAATTCCGCGGCCAGAACACTCTGAACGCGCTTTGCGAAGCTGTTGTTGAGACATGCGTGTGCAACTCCCTCGCTTCAAGCGCACAGATTCTCTTAATACAAGGTATCAAAATAAGAGAAATTAATAAACAAAAAACATAAGAATTATAAAATTTAAAAGGGAATCTAAAAGGGAATCCTAGTTTCAAAAACCGAGTCTTTGTGGGCATAGGTGGAGAATCAAAGAAGCTCAAATGAAGAATGAAGTGCAATCATGTCTTTGACTTGATCCTGTCCTGTCCTTGGAGTTTTCAGACTTCAGGCACTCTGTCTGCGTTCATGAACAACCTGAGACACGTAACATATCTGGTCTTGCAACAGAGGAAAGCATCCCTGGTTGCCATTGCTAATTCAATAGGTCGTTAACGAATCCCATGATCGATGTGGGAAATGTAAACATTATAACATTGTTATCAACGACTACTAGTCGCGTACAGGATGGAAAAACCGTATACTTGACGAGAAGAAACAGGAAACAAGTGCAAGAAAATGAGCAAGATAAGTCATTCAACAGCTTAGGGTATCTAATACGGAAAGGAATGGATCTTAACCCAAGACATGATTCAGAGGATTGGGAGATGTAGTGTTTGGTCTCCAGCAATCACATCTGCAGATACTCCTAGAACCTTCCACAACCCGATTCGACCTCCTTGTGTGGAGCTTTACGTTCACCAGTTTGCCAGCTATCTGTTTGTTTGTTGCACACAATCAAATTGATGATTTAGTGTGGCATCTTAGATAGATTTCAAATAGTGCAGTAAGTTTTGTGCCTTAAGCCTACTGAAACCTTATGAGCACTGAATGAAAGGAGCATAAATTCGAAGAAATATCAGACGCTATGGTACAACAAGTAGAAGAACAATCCTGATCGTACCGGAGGAGTTAATAATGCTTCAACAAGTACTGAATACATAAGCTAAAACTTGCCGTACCGTCTTTTTTTAAAATGCTTTCTAGATTGCTAATGCCAAGGTACAAAGTGGTGGTGTCATCAATTCAGTAGAAAGTGCGTACCATTCTCCATGTCAAGTCTTCAGGACCTAATGGCTGAGCTGGGCTGGAATATATAAAATGCCGGGCATACTGGAAAAAGTTGAAAACAGCCGTTCTAAGAGACTGGAAAAGCAAGTTTTGCTTTATGTAGGTCAAACTATGAAAACAGCTTCATTTCATTTCGTAAACTCGGAGCTTGGGAGGATTATAAAAAGTATTTACTTGGGCAAGGTTACGCTGCAAGTCCTTTATACGAGAGGGAGTAAGGCTTCTCAGGTGGTTTACAAGCCACCCTGGCTGTATAGCATCACTGGAAGAAACAAACACAGCAATCTGCGCAAAAAAGGTACAACAGGCAAAAACAGTTAACAAAAGTTTGATCCACATATTAAGCAAATACACAATACAAAAACGATAGAATTGCAGAACATATTTATCTCCCATTATGACATGAAACACAGAAGTATCTTCCAGCTTTTGTATGAAGAATTTCCACGAAGAGCAATTACACAATACAATTTTTCATGATGCACATTACTCCGACAATCTAAGCTTCCATCACTTGTCAACAATAGAAGAACATTAAATTGTCTGCTATGCAGAAAAATAAATAACATGTCTACCGACACTGAAAACAATCAGGGAATGGATACTCTAAGCGTACCAATTACAAAATCTCCAAATTCTGGCATACCTTCGAGTAATCAAGCATTCCTTCGAAAGGAAACTCCAACTCATCACTGACTATAACAGGTATACATCCACTGACAATAGCATCAAACAATCTCGCTGAGGATGGCGTGTCACCAGCAGGACACAAGCAAAATAAAGATCTGATAGAGGTGGACATAGTTAGAAAAAGATAAGAAGAAAAGGAAAAGAGAGAGACACGAGACGAAGGGCATGATCACCATATACTTTACCTACGCATGCCATTCTGAGCAGCTAATTTCCCTCCTTCTCCGGCAGTACCTTCCTCAATTACTACATCTTTCACATTGCTTAGCTCCGCTCCAAGGTTGGCACGTATTTTTCCTCCCTGAAAGAACAATTCCAGAGCTATATGAGTGAGAACATAGACAAATTGGACATCACACAATTAGAGAACTCAAAAAGCAACTTTACGTTTTCAGTTTAAAGAAACCTATTGCAAGTACGTTTAAAGGGGAAAGATAATTCATGGCAGTGAAAGCAGTGAGGCAATTGTGAAGAGATGACCATAAAAACAACCACCACCTAACACATTTTCAGATGGTTTTGAAAGCCCCACATAACAACGAATAATAGAAGAAAGGGAGTAGAGCTGTAGATAGCATGAATCTCACAGCATTCCTCTTAAGCCGTCCTCGGAAAAACAGAAGTGTGGTTCTCTTTGAAGAATATTCAGACAAGCATTTGGCATCGCAGAGATCAACATTTGATACATAGGGAAGAATTACGTCTTTCTCCAGTGAAACTTGCCCTGGCTTATACCTACAAGTTCAAGTTCAAACAGAGTTAGCAACTTGTAGTTTAAATAACAAACCAAATAACGCAGAATCAGTTGCAAAAGGATCGCAAGAGTCACCAGTTCCCAGTGGAGTCCATATCTGGTAAAAGCCAAATTGCCTTCTTGACGAATTTGCGGACTGACTTGAAAGACCAAGGATGGTGAATAGGAAATATGTGATCCCTTCCCTCAGACCTTTTCCAAGCAGGCTGATCAGTGACCCATTTCAAAGCTTCCTACAGTAAGAAAATAGCCAGAAGAAAAAAAAAACGAAAGATTGTTACTGATACAATCTCAAATCCCATATTTTTCCATAAAATTATATCCACAAGGAAGCAAATTTTAACCGGAATCAACAAAGAGAAAACAAAGAACTATATTGATACATCACATGCCATAGATTATCTGGCTTAAGATTCTGCTCACGGCAAATAGTTGTTACTCAATTTCCAAATCTAAGATGCACAACAAAGAGCTCATAACAGAATCTCACAGACAAAAAAGTGATTAGCACGCCCAATGTCGATAATTCAGGTTAAAAGAATTTCAGTTTGAGTGACACATGAGTTCACAATGCAAACACACATTAAGATCTTATAAATAAAAAAAAAGGAAACGAAAACTACGGAAAGAACTATCTCTAAAAGGTAAAGCAGCAGTAATTGAACTCTTGGAAGCTCACTCACACCCTATAAAGTGCTTTGCATTGCTGCTTCTCCAGCAAGAAAAAGCTGATGGTAGTGAAAAATGGAACATAGAAAAACTCCGCGTCTTGCTGGTGATGGACCCTCACGACACTTTTCAAATGCCTTTCGGATTCAGGAGCCATTAGATCAGCCCAGAGCCAATAATCAATAGAATGCTGCAAAATCAAAGTCATCAATCAGCTTACAAGGAGGAATAGTTAAATGGAGCCACAAGGCCTAAACTTCAGATATCTCGCTGAATCGAATGAAAATTCTTTCTACATCATGAAAGCTTAAGCTGCGAATCACAATCACATCCAAATGTGAAACAAAGATTGAAGCAAAACCCCATATTCCAATATTTTCTGTTTCTATATGCCCACAAATGGCTCTGCATCAATCCCTAGACCAAGCAACAAGAAAGGCCCAGCACAAGGTAGCCTTTTTTTACCGAATCACGTTGAAGCAGAAACTGAAGGAATTTCAAAATTCACAATCACAGCTGGTGGTTCCGATTCGGCCGACATTATCACGAAACTGATATGACAAAGTTACCGTAATACCTGCTCGATTAAACGATGCACAGGGCTACCATTTGAAGTGAGATTCGATGTCTCCTTGTAAGTATTGTGAAACAACCATAGAAGATCGTAGGTAAACTTCTTCGGCATCTCGTACACGTAAACTTTAATCGGAAAGCTCAAAGGGTAGTTCGGATCCTCGTCCAACCACCGCTTCTCCCTCTCAAACACCGCCTCATCGAACTTCCTCCCATCATCCTCACTCTCCGCCTGAACCGTGTCGTCCCTAACCGAGACCGAGATCTTCGGAGCCTTGTGGATCAAGAAATGCTCGAGCGAGGCGACGAAGGAAGTCTCTGGCCGCGACGACGAGCTCGGGTAGGGACCAGAGGAGGGTCTGGTGGAGGAAGAAAGATTGAAGAGGATGATAACGAGAGAAAAGACGAAGAGGGAGAGGGTGATGATTAGGGTTTTGGACATGGATCTGGAGGAAGGATGATTGCTATGCAATTTCCCCGGCATTGGAAGATCTGATTCTCGATCCGACTTCGATCAATTTCGTGTCACTCGTTCGAGTTTCTTGGTCTCAGAGAAAATGGAAGTTCCGAGTGAGAAAATGACCAGCTCTAGTTTCCGATCCGAGGCGTTAATGCTCAATACTTAATTAAACGAGACACTACTGATTAGGAGATTAGGAGGTGGCCATTTCGGTTATTAACCGAATAACCGAGTCGAATTAAACCGAATAAAATATAATCGTATTCAAACCGAACTCGATATCAAAACCGAACGGTTATGATTTTTTTACATCCGAAAAAACCGAAACCGAACCGAACCCAATAAAAAATAACCGAAAAAATCGAGAAAATAACCGATAATTTCTTTAGAAAATTGAACTTTTTACCAAAACCGAACCGAATCTGAACCGAAAAATAACCAAACCGAAGTTTAGATCAAACTGAATGGTTATAATTTTTCTATAACCGAACCCGAATATAACCGAATCGCACCCGAACCGAAACCCGAATTGACCACCCCTAGTCTTCATGGTCCTAAGAACCAAACCGAATGGAACCGGATGAAATTGAACCGAACCGGTACAATGTTTTATCCATTCCAATTTACTAACACTTTCTTCGAACCGACTTTATTAAAATCAAATGAACCTGAACAAATTCTTTAGAAAATAAATATTCTAACCAAACCCGACATCAAATTGAACCAAAAATCCAAACTCAATTGCAATTGAGAAAAATCACAAATTAGCAATGGTGAGACAAAATTATACCAATGATAAAAACTATGGATAACTAGTAACCAAATGAACACAGATTATATGGTAAAAGACATAACTCTTTGATAGCATCTAGTTTCTTCATAACCCATCTCATAACCAAATCCGGGAAGCCTATTACTTACAGAAAATGCCCATAAAACCACCGATTTTTTTCATTCAGTCAGATGATAAATCATAAAAACAGCCTTCATCTGTTCATCCTCTTCCCCGGAAATTCGTCGGAAAATGTATCTTAGAAGCGGATGAGATCATCATCATGGTCTTTAGACGATTGCTGCTTCTTCCTGTCCTGCCCAAAAGAAGCGGCATCAAACGGGGAACCCCCACTACTGCCTTTCTTGCCGAATATCATCTCGTCGAGGTCATCCATCATGTCATCAGCATTACTTTCGCGTGTCCCACCTCGGGAACCTGAGGGTTTTCGGACCAAAGACTCTTCTTTGGCCTGAATCGGGGAGTCAGGCTCAACAACTACAGGAATCATGGCTGGTTCAGGAGCGGTTAGAGGTGCTGAGGGCTTCTTCATCTCTTCGTACTTGGACAGCGTTTTCTGGAGCTCATCGTTCACGTTCAAGGCTTCGAACAGAAGTGCTTCGTTGTCTCCAGCTGTCTCGATGATTCTTTGAACGGTGGTTTGGGACTGATGACATTGCTGTACGAGTGTCATTGTCAAGTCATCCTGCCAATTAGAAGACCGAAAAATCGCTTGATCAGATTGAAACTATACTATAACAAGCAACGGCATTCATATCTTTGGCTTCAGATCATCTGTATGATGCTGGAAATAATGCCCAATAATTACAAGAAATCACCTGTAAAGCATCATGTTGAGGAGAAGAGGACAAAACTGTGGAAAGAAGCTCGATGCTGTTCCTTGCTACATCAAATGCTTCCTTTGTCTGCTCAGCAGTAAAGCTTTGTACAGGAGGAACATCATAATGCACATGCTGAGGGACATTAGCATCCACTTCCGGGGCTGAAGCTGAGCGAGGAGGGGTAAAAATAGGAACCAAGCTCTCATTGTCACGTCCAGGAAAATGGGAACCTCTTGATCTTAAGCTCTATGACATTGAAATAAAAAACATAAGATGAAAGACATTAAGACTTGATCAAATCACACTTAACACCGGTTGCAATTTGTTCTTTTATCCAGTAACACAGCAGAGGATGAAGCATGGTATACTCACGCTCAATAATGACGCTAAACGTAAATATAAAATCATAAGGTTACCTTGTAAGTTTCTTCGAAAACTGGTAAATAGCGGAGTTCACTGGTCGACTCCCCCCAAGCTTCAATCAGCATCAAAGCTTTGTTCCGGTTATTGACAACTGTTTGAGGATCATCTATCAACTTAACCATTTCATCAAGAACTCTTTCAGCTGCCACTTCCGAGAATGCCTTCTCGCAGTTCTTAACACACGTCTCGAGCAACACCAGGGAAAGGTACTGAGTTCTTGGCTGCTTCATCATCATCCTTTTCTTTATTCCACGGATCAAATCAACACTATTAATCTTTTCTTGATTGATCATATCACATATTTCCAAGTTCATAGCCCAGTCGGGTTCCTCTAGATTCTCCGAGGTCGCATCCTCAACTATTTTATCGGCTGGGTTTGGACCTTGAAAGAGTTCCTTCACTTTGAAGCTCATCGAGCTAACACCGGCACTCACCTTCTTGCTCATTTCAGTGCCTCCAATCTTGAGACGCTCGCCAAAGGCGCTAACTTTTTCCATAAGATTGTCACTCATCTTACCCAATATTCAAACCTGTAATACAACATGAACGTAACTCATTGTGCAAGGTGGCCAAGAGGCTGGAGGTGTACATCAAACAAAATAATGCTTCCCATACAATGAAAATAAGTGAGCGAAATAATCGAGCCACCGAATTTGGATGAAAAAAAGACACGGGTCAAATCAATTTTGGGGCTGACGTAGCCAATTAGGGCTTTCGTAGGGGACAAAATTTGAAATCGATCCGCAGTAATCGAGATTCATAATACAAAAGAAGCTAGAAATTCTCGATGATCGACAAAAACCCACGACGAGAAGTAGACAAGATCATCCAAAAACCCCAGAACCCAAGCGAATTGCACAGAATCAACATGAGAAGATAACAAGAACAATGAAGCACAACTCGTCAACTATCGGACAATAAATTTACCTCGGAATACAAAACCCGTCTGATGGAGATCTGAAATTAGACGAATAGAAGACCAGAGCGAAGCGAATAATCTCGTAGAAACGGCGGAGACAGACAGAGAGAGAGAGAGAGGAAGTCAACGCGGCTGACGCGGGAAAAAAGGACTGATGAAGAAAACGCGTGTTTGGTGCTTTAAACTCTTTAATATATATATATATATATATATAATGAAATAAACAGATATAAATTAATAAAAGAGTTTCAAAACTAAGAGATGTTAACAAATTATTTCATATTTTTTATGAACTCACAATAAAAATATTTGAAAAAATTATCATCCATTAATTTTAAATTTGTAACAAACTCCTTGTCCGGTTCCCTTTTCCGTTCACAAATCTCGCACCACCAGCTTCCGCCTCCTCCTCTTACGTCTTCTTCCTCGCCACCTCGAAGGACCAGATCAGGATGTCTATCTTGCTTATACCGTATCTTAGGCGGTAGAGTTATGCATTTGAAACACAAGACGAAGTCACATTCCATGCATTGCAGTGTACGAAAGGTGAACCCTTCTTTGCAGCCTGAACATGCTTTTTCACTCGTCGAAATCGATGCGGAGAAGAGGAGATGCGGATGGGATTTATGGATAAATGGCTCGGAGACCGAAGCGCAACTCGCGTCTACTTTGAAACGGCAGTCCTCTGTGCAACACTTGTATACGAAGCCACAACAGTCTTGAGCGCAAATGTCGCATCTCTTGATATCTGTTCCGCTAGTCTCTAGTTTTAGACGGTGGGGACGTAGAATGTACCATATCTTTCTTGGTAGATTTGCACATTTTTCATGGAGAGTGAAATCACAATCACAATCTGTGCAGCTGTAGATATTGCCCAAGTGAACACGAACAGGAAGAGCGCATGCTTGGCAATGTTTGTTTCCATCGAAGCTGCCACCGTTGCCATCTTCATTCAGTTTAAGAAGATGATGCTCGTGGCTGAAATGACGTATCGTTCTGTCATCTATAATCTCGAACGGCTCCTCGACATCTTCGGATTCTTCGGGTACACCCTCGAGGTCTTTCCCGTCCCACACATCTTCTCTTGTCGCACATTTTGAGTGGACGGCATAATAACAATTGTCTTTGATGCAAGAATACACACTGTATCGGCTGTCCATGACTTTACGACAAACTCCACATGACCATGACGATGATTCATGAGCTGGTGGAGGAAGAGAGGAAACGTAACAGAGACGATGCTCATGACGGGAGATCCTGATGAGGCGTGGTAAGTCGATACATTCTCTATGGATCATGACCCCGCATTGGAGACAAACCCAAGGGAGAGAAGGGCCATCGAGGAGTAAACCACAGGCATCATAGGTGAAGGGACGTGGCTTGGGGAGGAGAAGAGCTTATGGCCGTGGTTCTTGGGCCGACTGATCCACCTCAAGAGCCGGTGGCTCCATGGCGCAGCGGAGATGAATGATGAAACTGCAGATAAGACAGTGACCTTCTCCGAGCTCATCTCCGCAGCAATTGCACATATCCGAAGATTCGGAAACAACGAGGCGGCGGAGGGAGAGAGGGTGAGGAGGGTGATAAGGGTGGTGGTTCAGCTCCATCGGAGATTCAGCGCATTCCTTGTGGAAGTGACCCACGTGGCACGCGGTGCACCAGTAACCGTCGACTCTTGACGAGGAACCTGCCACTTGGCGGCACAAAACGCAGTAGGAACCCGACATGTTGCTTGGTATCAAGAGGTGAGGGTGGGTCGGAAGCTGGACTAACTCCATCGTTGTCTGATTTGTGATGGATTTGTCTCTTCTCTGTTAACAATGAAGAGATGATTTCACTGTTCCAAAATCCAAATCCATTTATTATTCATTCATTGTGGATCCCCGGGAATATTGCTGTTTTATTTGTAATTAAGAAACAACATTCGACTTCGAATAAACTATATAACTCGCCATCCATTATTGCTGACATAGTAAACCGAATTTCCTCCAACCCCCATAATATAATCTCCCAACTATCTTCATCGATTATATAACTTCTTAGTCCTAACATTTTTTTTTTTTTGGATTTGGTATTTTCATTGAATATATATAATAAGCGGAAACCACTTTATTTCCTTATACTCTTTTTTTTTTGTGGTCAGTACCCAAAAAACTAACTCAAGACTCCATCCAAAGTCGTTATTTAATTCACAAATTGTAACTTCCACTTTCATGAACCGTCGCTCAATCCCCGGAGATTTGACTCTTTGTAATTGTTTTGAAAATTATATCATTATTACAACAATCGTAATTTTGACTCTTTGCAAGTCTGACCTTTTCAACGGCTGTGATTGCTTCTCACGGTGACCGATTGTTGTGGGCCATTAGATTGGTAGGCCCAATTGCTGATCTGGCCTTTTAATTTGCATGTGGGTTAATTTCCGCTTAAGGCCCATTTATGATGTGTGAAGGAGGGGGGGGGATATTATCACACGTAAGTTGTCTTTTGCTTCCCACGTGCGATTACACATTTTGCGGTGGAAGAAAATTACGTACTTACTACTAATTATATTCGTTCAAAACAACCCTAAAATTGTAAATACTTGTTGTTTTGTTTTAAAAAACACGACTTTAAAAGTATCGCAAAGGAAATAAAAACCGGGCATCGGTCTTTTTCAATTACAAGAAAAACAAGTACTTAAAAAGTTAAAACCAAACACAAAAATTTAGGCAATGGTAAGTACAGAAATGATGACCCTTTGCCCTGAAGACAGTGGGAAACGGGCAACGCCTCCGACACACACGGCAGAACGGTCGGGAGCAACTGATGTTGGCTAGGGTTTCAAACTCGGTCGGCCTTGGCGGGACACTATCGGGATCAACATATGGGTCGGAATAATGACCCGTCTTCATGAGTGGATCCGCCCCCAGGAGGCAATGGGCATGGACAGTGACACAACAAGCGTCACAAGTGTAATACAATCCCTCTCCCGGATCCATTTTCTCTTCACAGATCTCGCACCACCACCAGTTTTCTCCGCCCTCTTCTTCACCGCCGCCGCCGCCGCCAAGTGCAAGAGGATGTCTATCCTGCTCGTACCACCTTACTTTTGGTGGCAAGGTTATACAGTCGAAACATAAGCAGAAGTCGCACTCGATGCATTCCATCTTCGTGCTGAAACTGTCTGTTTCCTTGCAGCCGGAGCATGCTTTGCCGCGAAACAAATTCGACAAGGAGAACAGAGGATGTGGATGAGTTATATGGAGTAAGGGCTCCGAGACGGCGGCACAGCGCACGTCGATCTTGAAATAACAATCTTCTCTGCCGCAATCGTACTTGAAGCCACTGAAGTGCCGAAGGCAAATGTCACACATATCCACCTCTGTTCCACAAGTCTGTAGCTTGAGGCGATGGGGATGTAACATGTGCCACGTCGTTCTTGGTAGATTGGCGCATGTTTCGTGGAGGACGAAACCGCAGTCGCATTGCGTGCAGCGGTAGATGTTACCAGGATGAATACGAATAGAAAGAGCGCATATTTGGCAGTGCTCGCTTCCATCTAACCTGGCACTGTCGACCTCGTTCAATTGAAGGTGATGCTCGTGAATGAAATGCCGTATAACTTTGTCATTTATAACCTCGAACGGCTCCTCCACATCTTCGGGTTCTTCAGGCATTCCCTCGAGGTCTTCCCCGTCCCATACATCCTTTCGTGTTGCGCACTTTGCGTGGACGACATAACGGCAGCTGTTGACGCAAAAATACGCCCCGTATTGGCCGTCAACCGCCTTGCGGCAAACCCCGCAGCACCATGCTTCGTGAGATGGAGGGGGAGAGGAAGCGTAACGGAGACGATGATGGTGGCGGGAGATCCGGATGACGCGTGGCAAACCAACGCATGATCCATGGAGTATGACTCCGCATTGGAGACAAGCGCAAGGAAGAGAGGGAGTATCGAGGGTCAAACCGCAAGCATCGCAGGTGAAGATACGTGGTTTGGGGAGGAGGAAGAGCTTATGGCCGTGGCTCTTGGGCTGAACCAGATCGACAGCCGGCGGTTTCCTAGCGCAAAGCAGATGGACGATGAATTTACAGTCGGGGCAGTGATATACCCATCCTCCTATGAGTTTCTCTGCGCAGAAACTGCATAGCTGTGAAGCTTCACCGAGATCATGATCAAGGGGACGGAGAGCGAGAGGGTGTGGAGGGTGATAAGGGTGGTGGAGCTCCAATGGCGATTCTGCGCATTCCCTGTGGATTACAAAAAGGCAAGTTTGACTGTCACAACGGTAACCATCCGAGTTCTTTTGTCGAATAAGGCACATCTCGCAGTGGAGAATTGACATGTCACGCGGTATCAAAGGGTGACGATGGATTGGAAGATGGACCAGCTCTCTCTTCTCCATCTCTCTCTCTCTCTCTCTCTCTCTCTCTCTCTCTCTCTCTCTCGGTTTATGGCTATTTAGTCTCTCTTCTCTTCATGTACTGAAGACCATGTGACTTCACCAGTTCACTGAATCTCTTCACGCCCCGCCCAGCTCTCTCTTCTCCCTCTCTCTCTCTCTCTCTCTCTCTCTCTCTCTCTCTCTCTCTCTCGGTTTATGGCTATTTAGTCTCTCTTCTCTTCATGTACTGAAGACCATGTGACTTCACCAGTTCACTGAATCTCTTCACGCCCCCCGGAACAATAAAGCTACTCTCTTTTATAATAATAATTGAAAAAAAAAGAAGAGGTTAACCAGATTATTTTAACGGGAAGTTATGTCTTTTGCTGTAATTAATTAAAAGTTAAGACAATGATTTTAATTGTGAAAATTTAAATTGAGATTACACACGTTTTTAAAAAAATCTTAATTTGGGTTTAGAAGATTTAACTTTAAAAATAAATTGTTTAATGGGTTTTTGAAAAAGTGCTATTTCCTACCTTGAAATTATGGTATATATCAAAAGTGTGTTTTTGTAATTCCGTCTCCTCTAGAGATGGAATAGCACTTTTTTGAAAAGTAACAACGCGTTTTGAAATTATGTGTAATTGGTATTTCCTAATCTTGAAATTATGTTATATTATTTTGTCAGTATGTATATTTTATATTTATTTATTTTAAAATTTCCTAACGTTTACACCCTCTGTATCCTATTTAAAATTCATTAGTTATATCACGGACTCAATCTATGTCGGAGCAAAGCTGCTACTGTTTGCAATAAAAAAAATATTACTCCCTCTTTTTTCACAATATATATCCTTTTAAATTTTTTTGCAGTTTTTAAAAATATATAAAAAAGTCATACATACCTTCATTAAATCATATTCTCATTAAAGTTGAATATTTATAATTCAAAAATTCGTATATAAATACCTAAAATTTTACAAAAAAAATACATATAAATACATGAGTTATAAAATTTTCATATAAATATTTAAAATTTTCTAAAATCTTAAATAAATATCTAGATTTTTGAAAATTTTTTAAATAAACCCAAAATCCGTTAATAATATCACCTATTTTTATTTAAAAAATATCTTAAATTTATATTTATTTAAAAAAAATTAAAAGTCTAGATATTTATATAAGATTTTTAACAATTGTATTTATATATAAGTTTTATAGTTTATGTATTTATGCAAGTTTTTTATAAAAGTTTAGGTATTTATATATTATTTTTTTTATAATTAAAGATAAAATTATAAATTTTTTAAAAAAATCACCTAAAAAATCTAAATGACATCTATTAATACAAGAAAATATTCTACCAAAGGACAAGTAATCGAGGGAGCACAACATTAATCTCCACACCCATCCATATCTCCGTAATAACATATTCAAATTTTCAGATATTGAATTCGAACATTATGTTGAACCAAGTTTAGACTTGTTGCGTAAGGTTACTTTTCGATTGAATTTAGTTTTGCATCTTTGATCTGATCGACGGACAGACGACAACCATGCACCACCTGTGTCCGCGTTCCAGTGTCAGTATAAATGATTTTTCCTTCGTGTTCGGCTATAATCACGATCAATTCCTTTTTCAAATCCTGCTGCAGCTGCACGAACCCTTCCCGCGTGCCGCGGAATATATGACTCATGCTCCCTTAGGTTCCTACAATGGGAGATTAGATCTCATAGAGTTCAATTCCCGTTCTCAACCGGACACTAAAATTTACTTAAATCCAGCTCCCAAAATTCATCACATCAAGTTGGTTTGTGAACAAAAAAAATAAAAAGAAAAAAACTCTCATAAAAATATAGATATTATTTAAAATTGTATGAGATTCACTTTACGTAGTGGATTATACAAAATTTTCGCAGTGGTAAATAAATATACAAATGTATATATAAATATATTCACATATAGAATAGCATATACACACAACATATATATACACACATATTATTGTGTGTATATATCATATATGTATATGTATGCATGTATATGTGTATGTGGATATATATATATATGTGCATACGTATGTATGTGTGTAAATAATTAGTACCTGTTTTTAGAGGTGTCAATGACTGGTCCGACCCAACTCGACCCGTGTTCGCACTGGTCCGGAGGTTTCTGGTTCGGGTTCGGGCCGGTCCGATTTTTTCGGGCCTATATAATTAAGTTCGAAGCCCAGTCCTATGCATTACGGATTTGGATGGGGTCGGGTTGGACCGGACCGACCCGCGAGCCTCTCTTTATAAATGTTCTTTTTTTTAAAAAAAATTCGGGTTTTCGGACCGGCTCGATTCAAATCCGAAACTCGATTTGAGTCTGACCCGAAAATCCGATATTTTGGGGTAAAAAATTCGGTCCGAAACCCGATATTTTTCGGGTTGGACCGGACCGGGCTCGGATCCAAAATGACACCCCTATCTGTTTTATAACCATACAGGAAAAAAATATAAATTCGATAGCAAATGAGTTTCTTTAAATAATCGGTACCTTAGACAAACGCAAGGACAGAAACGGAGACCACCTCAAGAACCGGTGGCTCCATGGCGCAGCGGAGATGAATGATGAAACTGCAGATAAGGCAGCGATAGGCCCATCCTTCTCCGAGTTCATATCCGCAACAATTGCATGCATATATCCGAAGATTCGGCGACAACGAGGCGGCGGAGGGAGAGAGGATGAGGAGGGTGGCGGTTCAGGGAGAGAAGGGCCATCGAGGAGTAAACCACAGGCATCATAGGTGAAGGGACGTGGCTTGGGGAGGAGAAGAGCTTATGGCCGTGGGTCTTTGGC